TTGTGTTAAAAATTCTTTGGTTTTATTCAGTATAAAAAATAACCTCTCACCTACACTTTACAAATTGCTTACTTTTGTTAAATTGTACATATATATATATACATGTAGCATTTTATTTTAATTTATTTATAAGGAATAATTTGAATTATAATAAATAAAATAAAACTTCATCTTCTCTAATCTATTCTTTTTATTCTCTTCCAATTTCATGGATTATATGAATATTTCAGCTATGAAAAGGTATATGTATATCAATATGTGTAATAAATTTTTTGAGTTTTCTTTTTAAATTTTATTTTTGACAAACTTTAATTTGTGCTTGGCGATTTACTTAGAGAATGAGAATAGAATAAATGCAAGTCAAAAAAATTTTACTATTTATCAAACCAAAAATTCAGTTTTTTATGAAAATAAGTATTAAAAGTTGAATGAAAGTTAAGTTTTTTGTTTTCCATTTCAATCTATCACTACTTTACAATTTTCATACTTATTTTTTCCCTAAAATTCTTGTATAATGTTTTCAATTCGCAAACAATAAACAACAATTAAGCAGTAATAAAATTTTTTGGATTAATTCGCAGTATTAATTTTTCCAATAACTTTCAGAATTCTTAAAAATTCATTTAAATCACTTGTTTAGGAGATTCAGTCCTTCTTCTAGATATTTTGTCTCTATTGCTGAATTTTTGTATACGTATTGAATGTAATTTAAATTTAGACTGTTAATTTCTCTGTTTTTTTTTAAATATTTCAAAAAGTTTAGCTATTAAATATTAAATACGTAAGCAGTATGTATCTATGAACATTTTCAGCAAAAATATTTTTTCTAACGTTAGAATGCGTCAATTAATCATTCTTAATATGCATATTAAATCTAAAATAACACAGGATTTGTTAGTAATACAATTTTTGTTTTCTTATTGACAGACGTAAATATGCTATGCTTAATTTCTCTTGACTTTTACTTCAGACGATATATTTTTTTTCAGTAGTTATTATTATTTCTATCACTACTGTTCTCCGATCTAATCATTGTTTTTAAGAAATAAAAACAAAATTATTACTTATTTTATGCATTATTTTTGTTACGATAATAATTTTTAACAAATTAGCATATGCGTTAAATGGATTAACTCTTTCGTCTCAAATGTTTTGCAAGCATATCAATAATACTGATAATTGCAATAAGCGATAATAATAATAATAATAATAATAATACTTGAAAAATATTAATAAGCATTTTATTGGTCTATATATTTTATTAATTCAAAATAATTGTAATGCTGTTTTTTGACTTATCCAAGAGGTATACATTAACTCATTTGAGAACTATTTTAGAATGAGCAAAACTTAAAGTTAATCATCCAAGCAATATTGCCAAACTCCGTAAAATTAAAAAATGTATTTTAAACTGTAAAAATTATAAATTTATTGAAAAGTATAAAAAGTAGTTTTCAAAAGCAATGGCAATTTTGCTCTTCGCTACATTTTTTGAAATAAGTTATTACTTTATTAGTAACGAGTAGTTTAATCCTTTTTTAACGCTAAGAATTATTTTCATATTCTGTTGACTTCACTTTTATTCAAATTAAAAACTATTTTGTTGGAAAAAAAAATCACTTAATATGCTACTTTTAATAAATATCTACACAAAAGTTAGGGTAAGAAAGGCAAATAAAAATGTGCAGTAATGGCTTTAAGCTTAACTTTATGCACTTATTTTTGTCCTCAAAGATAAGTAATTACTTTTAGACTTTACTTTGACCTCAGACAATCCTTTTGCAAGGAGGGATAATACAGATTTGGTAAAAATTTACATATGATGTAAACAACAAAAAAAGATTATTTCAAACTTATTAGCAAGTGGTTAATATATAATTGAGCAGTATATAAAAGTCTTCAATTCACAGTTACTACTTGAAACAACTTCATTTGAAATAAGTGTTTTTGCTTTGTGAGATTAAATAAATTACTAAGATTACTTTTATTTACTCCATAATCATAACAAACATTTTTTCATTGCGATAACATTTTTGATTATTAGTTATAATATTTTAAAAGTGAATGCTGAAAAGAATAAGTGTGAGCAAAATTCTAAAGTTATTATTATAATTATTATTTTTCTTTTGATGTGTTTATTAAATTATCAAAAAATTAGATTCAAAGAAAGGAAAATGAATTTTTCAAGAAATTTTTGTTAAAAAAATTGAATTCTCTTAAAATCTTACATCTTTTGTAATTATAATAAATTATTTATACATTTTTGTAAATAATAAAAAATAGAAAAAGTAACCAATTTTGATAAGTCAAAATTTTACAAATATCAGTAATTTTACTTTATTTTTCAAGGTTATTAGGCTTAGATTTGGTACAATTCCCAGCTATAATACTATTTCCTATACTGTAAATCTGACCAGTTTTTGATACTATTTTAAGTTTTAAAGTAGTATCAAAAATAGATCACTTGTTGAATATTACTTGTATTTGACTGTTTGCTTTTGCAATATTAACTCTATTTATCTAACAATTGCAAGTATATTTTCAAAGTATTTACTCATTTCAGCCTTTCTTCTTAATTTTCCACATAGCAACAAAACTCAGTAAATGCTAAATTATGTATTATTTTTTCTTACATATTCATTATCATAGACACTGATATAAATCATTCAACTCATAGATCATTTTTAATATGTAAGTTCATATCCAACTTAAATTTAATTATTATATTAGTTCATTTTAAGCATCAAAAACGTTGTAATTTTAGAACTGATTTACTTGTCGTTAGTATTTGCAAACAGATATTTTCAATAACGATTAAATTTATTGCCAATTCATTGCAATAATTATTCATTTATAATCAAAATATTACACAAAAATTTATAAAATTAAGTTTTTAATTTCGAATTTGAAGTTTTTTTCATTCAAGCTGATGATTGATATGATAAAATTTTAGTGTTAAAAGTTGCAGATTTTTTTCTTTGCAAAACTTTACTTTAGTTAGACTTTCAAACAAATTAAACTATCCAAATGTCAATTCCGATGTGAAAAGTATTAAGGAAGGGGCACTCAGCTTGATGAGTAATGCAAACGGATAGAGTAGATCGATCCTTGCAAATCAGTTACTTTTGTTACCTTCAGAAAAGTCTGAATATTTCAAGTCAACTAATACTGCAGAATGTTCATTCAACCCTACCATTTGATATATTACTGTGTTTTTGCTTTTATTTATTATTTTTATTTTGCATCAAAAATTACTACAAACTTACTTTATGCATTTTAGTCATAAATTATGCAAATTCTGTCTATTTTTGATTGATTGATTAATTCGAATATTTTATTTGTTTATAAGTTTGTTACTAACAAATATGCGTAACTTTTGCTGCTGTTTGTATGCTAAACTTACTTTTATGAATAATAATTGATACTTGGCAAAAATCATTTTGTTACAATTATTAATTTGCATTTAAGTAACAAATTTGATATGCAAATTTTGCGAACTAATCTATTTGGAAATGAATAAGTGCTATTATCAAAATTCTTGTCGCAAATTCAAAAATACATTAGTTATTATATTAAACTTGTTTCATCTTTCTATGACACGTAATAAACTATTTTATAAATAACTTTTACAACCTTTATTTAAAAAAATTCAGTTTTTTCTATAGCTTAAGAATCAGAAATTTGTGACTCGATTTAGCAGCCTACTTTTTAAGTTAGTTCAGCACTGTACTAAAGCCAAAATTAGTTATTTTGACTAATTGCATCTTATGAATAGTCATTGAAAAAAGTATTAATTAATAAAGAATCATAATAACATTTGCTCTACCTACAATACTGATACTTGACTAGTACTATTATCGTTGTTACCATTATTAACCATTACTTTTACTGCTACTGCTATTACCAATACCACTTAGTACCACTACTTCTATACTAGTAGTACTATTACTACTAATACTGCTACTATTAAACAATGATAATAATTATAGTAACATTAATAATAATGATACTGTTAATGGTAGTAATAAGTATAATGATCATTATATTAATAGTGATAATAGTTAGTTGATTAATGCAACTTTTTAGATTATATTGCTCAGCACATAATTTTAAATTGGATGTCAATCATTTTGCACCAAATATTTGTTTTCTAAATTTTATTATCAGAAATGCAATTTGTATTTTGAGTACTATTCTTGGATTGATTCAGAAGCATACATATTTAGAAGCTAGCAAGTTTCGAATTCTTCACGAAAAGGCTGAAAATGATTATGATGTAATGTAGTATTGACAGGATATTCTCGATAATCATTTGATGCTATGCGATGCACTCCTGTTTCCACTGCTTAGGAACGGCTACAAAAACGTTATCTATGTTGTTGCTCTACGTAAAAATTAGTGGTACTACCATGCTGTCAGATTCTAATGGCTTAAGTCTACATTTTACCGAATCATTAGCTCATCTCATTTCTGATAATAATAATATTAAAACTGAAACTTCTCATGTCAGCAAAATTTCTGGAACTTTACAAATTAGTGGTAAATTTTCACTTCTCCAACAAACATCCTTCTAGTTTCATAAAAATATCAAGATCTCGCTTCATAATTCTTGCTTCTTTACTTCAAACAACTGATCTTCAAGATTGCTTATGCAGTTTTAAGTTTCTGTTTTGTAAAAAGTAATTCATACTAAGTTAGAAAAATAAAATTCCGAAAAAAAATTTAATTTTAACATAATTTTAAAAATAGTTAATTGTTGGAATATGAGCAAAATGAAAACATCTTACTCAATTTAGCTTTGAATTTTAATATAAAGGTAATCGTAGTGCAAGGTAATCTCATAATTTTGATCTAAAAAGTCTTGATAAAATTTTTATGTCATTTATTTATCTCTATAATAAAATTAATCTTCTTCAGTCCAAGAATTCAGTAAATCCAAATAATACCATAATTTTTGCTAAAATTTTTTTTTTGCAGATACAGCTCGTTGTTTTTCGTGTATGTCTCGATTGTATGAAGCAGTTTGGCCAGCACTTTCATCTATTTATAAAAGGCCAAAAAATTTCACAGACTTATGCGACGAGAATAATCTTGATCCACGTCACGTTACTTTCACTTACTGCCCGACTATATGCATAAGAATGTGGGAGGAACCTATAGTAGCTGGTAAAATAATTTTATTTTAAGCAAAATTTTTCACATTTTATGACTTTATTAATTATATATTACATTATTTTAAAGTAGGATAAAATTATTCATTCCCAACTATTTTTGTGAAATAAAATTTTACAGTCATAAATATCAATTTAATTATTGAAAAATGGCATTAATAATCCAATTTTGTAAATAACAACCTTTAACCAGAAATGTAATTAACTGATTAATAAATAAATGTTAAGGAGTTCGAATCAAAGGTCATATCCGTGGGTGCCTTGTTGACCTCTTACATAATGGTTTCAATCAAACTATAGTTACATGGTACAGGTGGATGCATCGTGATTCCTGCCGTCAATACAGGTTTGCCTAATTTGTGAAATTATTTATTCAGTTCCGAATATTATCTGGTACTATTGCAGGAAACGAGAACTTTTCAAGTTGCCGATAGAATTAAGCGATGACAGCTCTATTACGGTATGTACATGCTATGCCGATTATTGCAACGGTAGGTCTTCCAGCGAAGCGACGAAGCTGGGAATTTCTCAGTACTCATTCCTTTTACTATTTTCATTTTTACTTTCAATTTACATTCAGAGGATATCCTATCTATCTTCTTGACGCTGCCCTTTCACCTACCTACCTTGTGTATGTTATCTCTCATAGTAACTGACATTTTAAAGTGTGAGATACTTACCTTCCTTGGCATTTGTCATAGTCCTCCAAGGAATACTTAAAGCACTACAAATTTTGATTCATTTCAGAAGTTTCCAAACGTACAGACTGATATATGAGCAAAAAAAAACCTTTACTGCCTTGAATTCCCATCTTCAGTAGATCTATATGTTAGCACTTATTTATATGACACCTAAAGAATACTTGTGTAATCTCGTTGTTTGGGAAACTCCTCAAAATGAACCAAACATTATATGATACATGAACACACGAATTTAGTTCGATTTTGTTCTTTCCTTCACTGTACCTCCTCTGAAATTTTCGATATACCACAAACTTTATTCAGGAATACGAAACCAGAATTCTGTTAAAATTTATATCTGTGAAATTACCAACTACTACAAACATGAAGTATAAGATTCCAGATGCATTAAAGCAGATGTGGATCTTCCTCATTTCTAAGAATATTTATGAATGATGTGAAGGTAAATGTAAACATACTTTTCAAATATATATGATGTGCTCGACAAACACGTTATAAAAAATTCTCTCATTATTTTTTTTCATGACGTAACAACTCTTTATTAGAATCACTTCTACATGTTATTTATTATGCACTGTCGTCAAAGGGTACTATCACACCAAAATACAGCACACTCATTTAATCATAACTACGAAATGCAAATTTTTCTGCATTCATAAAATTGTAAATCAGTTGACGATGAATTATTTCGGTTTCTGTAGAAATCTTCCGTCATAAGAACCTGGGTATATGCTGCTGCTAACAAGCACTTAATGGAAGACTGCTGTTCGATGAGCACTAGGCTATTTCCATCATTCATAATTAACGACGATCACTCGTTTCATGAATTTATCCACTGCAACGAACAGTCAAGCTCCTTTACCAAACCAAAGTCATTCTTATCCGAAATAACTTTATTCGCTAATTGAGCAGCCAACAATGCCATTTGTCTGCACTCCAGTGACGGATCAAACTGAGCCAAATTTGTTGCATAGTCAAGGCAATCAAAGAGTTCTTCTGAAATTTGTACCATGATTCCATAGATTGAATGGAAAATTTTAGGCATAAAACAAAAATAAGCAGGATTCACCCCGATAATGCTCTAAAATTATTTCTTCTGACAATGACACACAAATGGTAGCATAACAAAATAAGACAGCTTGTCGCACAGCAGAATTCTCATGGTGTCGTAGTGGAAGCAAAATATGGAGCATCGTGCTGTAATAAAAAACTTTTAAACACAGCTAGTCATGTAGCTAGTAATTTTTCAAATAACTGAAATTAGTTTTGTGATCAAAACTTGATGACGATTTTCACGATCATAATTTTAACCTTTTCTTACATTCACGATTAATTAATCTTCACTCTACATAATTTGAATTTTTGATCTCATCTAACATGGAATTAATTTGTGAGCTGGTAGTTATTAAATCACTGAAATTTGTCATAAAATTTATTACAAACTCACTCAACCATTTTTAGCGTACATGAAGCATTACCAGAGCACTTGATCAAGTTTGCAATACATACAAGAATTCTGCTTAATAATTCTGAATCCCTGCCCTGAAATTAACAATAATTGCTTATAAGATGATTTTTTTAATACAGCAGAAATAAATATCTAAAAATAATAAGCGAAAATAAAAATAAATGCACAAAAATTTACAACAAAAACAAACAATGAGATTGAGATGCTCCCTGTGATGATTGATAGCTACTAAAGGATAGAAGAAGGAATTAGCCAGAATTGTGAATTTATTTGGTCTTGCAACAACTGTGCGGGACTGTCCAAAACGCCTCGTTTTGGAAGCTAGCTTTTTATCCCTCACATTATCTAAATACAGAATTTTCACATTATTTAAATACAAACTTTCAACTATGATTCGACCTTATTAACTTAATTCCACAAAATGGAAGTACCAAAGCTGTATGTTACGAAAAAATACTTTTAAATGTTAGTTTACTTCACAACCTGTATCTTTCTTGATTTCTTTACAGTTATCTTCAATAACAGATCCCATTGATGAAAATTCTGATGCAACTTCACTTATAGCTCTTATAATGACATATCTGTTCGTCATCGCACATCTGTAAAAAAATAGCTGAAAAAAATTAAGTTTATGATACTTTGTGAAAACTGTCTTTAAGCATCTTGCGAGCATGAAAAAATAACATGCATTTATAATCATTTATAAATCGTTAATTTGAAGAAAAAAGGATCAAAATCAATTTATTTGACAAATTTATGCTCAATAATTAGTTGCATCATTTTTTTTGAAAATATGAACATAAATTATTGAAATTTACACAAAAGCTATTTTTTTAGTTAATTATGAACTCACTGTCTCGAATACATGAAGTCAACAGCAACGCTTCCCAAGTGTGGGCTTGTCGATAAACACAATTTTATGAGATGCAAACGTTTTTCCTAAAAATTATCGCACATTGTGTCACAAACAATTAATACTAAAATTAGAGAAATATATTTTGAAAAAACTACTGACTTTTTCCGTGTTTCAGGTCACATTAAAAACTACTGACTTTTTCAGTGTTTCAGGTCACAAAAATGATGCTGAATTACAATGATTAACAAAGTGCAGTATGATACTAATCTTAAAATTTACATGAAAATTAGGAGTACTAAAGCGATTGGGAAGAGTGAGGAGTCTAGAAAGCAGATCATTCGCAAGTTGCTCATAACCGATAGCGCGACGTCTAAAATCACTCACTTTAAGATGTGTATTTAGCACATTATCAGCAAAAACTATTGTCACAAAAATCTACATTTGTACAGTTTGCTGGATTTCTATTCAGAGGTTTTAATGGTGAGCAAGATTACTAGCAAAAATTTTTGATTGGAAATCTATTACTCTCGATTAAGATATATTCAAAGTACAAAAAATCTTATATAAATGCTAATTTTTCGTAACACATACAAATCTGAGCAGACTTATAAGTTTTTAGATATATAACATGTAAATTATTCTAACTGGAGTTATTCCATATTTATTCATATTTGCTGTCCTCAAAGATATCAAATCTATTTTGAATGAACATCATTTGACTGCATAATTTAAAAATATATATTAAGTATAAGTCACAACCTTATCATTGAATCCAGTGCATTAAATGCAGCTTCGAATTTGACATGATCAGTCTCCTCATTCAAGCCTTCGATGCAGTCTTTGATATAATGAGGACCTTTTACATTGTGATATTCTTCATCTTCTTGTTCCTGAAAAGACAAACAAAAATAAAACAAAATTACATGTAATAACATTAATACGTTATACATATGAGCTAAAAATAAAATAATTCAATCAAATGTAGCAAGTATATCTTCCAATTCACATAACCAGTGAATATTAATTTTACGCAGAAATAAAAAATGTACCTTTTCCAAATGCATTTCACCGAAAGGAATATTATATTCCGGAAAGTCATCATCGTCACTATCGACGTCTCCAGTGCCATTTAATGTATCATGAACTTCGACTTGCACCAAGTTCTTGCTAGTATCGGCGTTTTCGCTTTCGTCTTTAAGGACCTTATGATCAATAGTGCACTCATCACCTTGCACTTCTTTTATCATATCTTGTATAAATTCAAGCCCTTCAGATGGAAACTCAAATTCCAATTTACCCAATGAAAACCATTTTGAGATCGTTTCTGCAAATATGCAAGATATACATACAAGATAATTTATTAACAATAGAGACATAACCATAGAGATATATATAAATCAACTTTGCAGAATGAAATCCACTGTCCAGAAAAATATCTCATTTTTCTGGACAGTGGATTTCGTACATTTTCAGTTCTGCATAAATGAGAAAGAAAATTAAAAGATCAACTAACCAGCAACATACATTCCTCGAAATCTGCGTCGATTATTTGACGACCTGAGACGAATATCAACACCAGTTGCTAACATCATACAAACTTCAGATGACAAGCCAAGACGCATTTTCTGACTGAAAAGATTTTAAATAATGAAAAATATCATCAATAAGTGAAAAAATGCCATTAGAAAATATTTCCAAACAAAAACTTTTTTTCTCACTCTTTGGTTTTTTCCAAAATATAAATAAGCAGTGAATGCAAAAACAAAGCAAATATATACCAAATAACAGGTCGCACCAGTGGATACTGTGAAGATTACCTCTTTCCAACTTATTAATCTCAAAAAAATTACTTTGCATGTTTCACAAGTTTGAGAAGCACAAGATCTATGTAATCCATCTGTTCATCAGAAGAATGAGTAACATGAATAGAGCTAGACCACACTTCGAAAGTTGTTAAAATTGTATTTCGGTGTAAGGTGCTCCATGGACCTTTATCTATAAAAACTGGATCATGTAAAAATTTTGAACGTAACAATTTTACAAACGAAAATTTGATTAAAAAATGAACGGTATCAACACTAATTACGAAACTGAACTGATGCAATGACAAGGATTTTGATGTTTTGATAAATAAGAATGTGTAGTAATTATTAATTTCAGATTCTGCTGTTTTTCGTTTGAAATTAAATACTAGATGAAAATGACACCTCTACAAAAAAATCGCATTTTGGAACAAGTAATCAGAAAACTAGCACAAAAATTTGTAAGACTAAAAATGAAATAAGATTGACTAACAGCAAGGATAAAAAATGCAGTTACCATCAGTATCCTTGTTTCCGACTTGTAGACAGAGCGACAATTTTTTTGGGATTTCTTCTTTTGGATGGAAGACTTTCACAAAAAGTGCTTTCTCGAAAAAAACACGCTTGACGATTCTATTTTCAAGAATTTCATTTCCAAACAACGTATGAAAAATAAGATTATTAAGCATTTTAATATAGTACAGAAACTTAAAAAAACATATTACATGAAACTCAAAACTTCAAATTACGTTAAAAATTTTTTTTGCGATAATCTTCACTTGTCTTTCTTTAACATGAAATATAATTACAAGTCCTTGGTCTACATAACCAAATGTAAAAAAATCTTCATAAACTTACAAACAATAATTCACCATCTTTTGCAGCAAGCAGTGTAGCCATAAGAAGACTTTCTAATTGTGACATACCATTGGTTGTATCTGTCAAAAGTTTCGAGCACATTTTGCTCCAATCAGGGCTTTTTGCATGAAGTCCCAACCAGTTTATTAATGTCCGAAATGTCTGAAGGAAAACATCAATTTAGACCACGAAAGTTTGGAAAATGTAACGAAGATGTACGAAAAGTTTGGAAAATGCACGAAATATATTCCAAAATTCGATTTTCTATATTTAACAACACAAAATTAAAAAAAAAAACTAACATCAACATTTCCTCGACTGATTTCATATATGATATCTGTAACAAATTTAAAGTTGACGTCCTCAGCATTTTCGAATTCTTTGAAAGACTTTTCAATAGCTGATTTGACTGATTGTAACAGATATATCCAGTGATTGTTTAAATATGCTTTGATACACATATCACTTTGTTTTGACTGAATAAGTCATTCAATTCTTTTACCTCTTACCAAGCGAAAAAAAAATCTGAACAATTACAACAATGCAGACCAGCTTAAAATTCTAAGTTTCATGAAACTGAAAACGTTTTTCTGCTTAAATTAACTCGAAACATATTTTAAGACTAACCCCAGATGAAGAAAGAGAAGAGCCCATCGCATTGTGAACTAAACAAGTAGTCTGCCCTATAAGTCTACACAGTTCTCCTTCTTTAGCATTCCATTCAGCTACAATTCATGTCAAAAACTAAATAATAGTCGTGGATGATTTTCAATACTTTGCTAATTATACTAAAATTAAATTAACCTATGTATTTTTATTTAGACGATATGATACGGAGAATCATTAACTAATTGAAATGATGAAGATATTGATATACTTTGGAATTTAGCAATAATAATCAGCTTCAACATAATACCATAAAAATTTTCACAGAAAACTGAATTATCACTAATTGCATTTGAAATACTGGAGCAAGAACTAAGGTAAACTGCTTGACGTTTAAAAATGAAGTCATGTAAAAAATACTGACCATCAAAAAGACTTTTTTTAATACTGGTGACAAGAAGTGTTTCCAGATTATTTTTCTCCAGTTCATCTAGCAAAATTACAATACGTTGTAAACGAAACAACTCAGAATCACTACAGGAATTCAAAGCATTGATCAAAACTATAATAGCATCATCTACAGCAGCTGAATGGAAAATCGCTCCAAACATATCCTTGAATTCACTTGCTGTCAAAAGCCCTGCAATTTGATAAAATTTGTTAAAGGAAAGGAGAATTTCGTTTTATATAAATGATAATCATAAGCTCCAATTATTCCAATGATTAACCGATCAAGTAATAATCAGATGTTAATGAATTGCAAACAATGATTATTAGAGTACGTCCACTAATCGAAATTGAAATTTTTATTCATTGCATGATTTCTTCAGTTCCAAATATACATTCAAAGTCTTCATCATACTAGATGAATTACCGAATTTGGCTGGCTGAAGCATATTAAGTAGAGTAGCAAGAATGCGACATTTTTCTGACGATGACCATTCAAATGAAGTAATGCACTAAAATTTTACGCAACATTAAATTTAACGGACCAAAACAAATGCCAAAAGCGGAAAACTGCATGCAATGTAAAGGAGCAGCATGATTTGTCATATTTTTAGCTTCATAATTCAGAAACGAAAATGCAAGTTTTCAACAGAAATGACGGTCGAAAATTATTTAATTTATAAGCTATCATTCTGCGGCTAAATTTAAAATGTGATAAAGGTGCTCGTTCATGTATGAGTATTTTATTCATAAAAGCATGTAATAATTAATAATTTACAAAAAATGAAGGCATTTTCTGCCTTTAAAACTTATTTAAATCTGATCAGTAAATTTCCAGAAATTTCATTTCTGGAAATTAAAACAAATAATCATTTAAGGAAATTATCGAAATTAAAAAGAATGATAAGTTTACTTTGCAGTTACAGAACTTAAATGATATTGAGTTCTTGTAATACACCAAACAACGCAGTTAGCTGACCTAAAAAAATATATGAAAAAAAAAAAACGAAAAATGGGAAAACACTTACATTGCGTACAATCTGAAGACTAGATAGCAGCTCAGCTCTGCCTGTGGCTTTTTTCAGCATATCCAATACCTCGCTAAATTTCATCTTTGATGACAATTTTTTCCCTTAAAAGAAGACAAAATGAGATGTATTTTACAAACTATCAAAATTATTTTTCTGAAATTGTTTCCAATAATAGTACTCACCAAGTAATCATTATAATCGTCACAACATAACTGCCTCATCTAACCTCTGAACTCATATATCTTCATCACCCAGACAACCATAATATTTTCAACTACCTAATTATTACAATATTCATTTTCCCACATAATCTTTGACTTCAAACCCCTCTATCTCCCAGACCACCTGCAACATCCTAATTGGCTAGTCACCACAACTTCACTTCGTCTATACACCCATTTCATAATCCTCTACCAACCAGTCAAATCCGCAACTTTTAATTAACCAACCGCGAAGTACCCTCTAGCAAAGAGCAAATAATGTAATATTTGTTGATATTTCGAGATGAAATCGTTAACTGTATTATTGTAACTAGAAGTTCCTATTAAATCAATTACAGAAAACATTGTATTCTTTATACAGATATCAAATTCTGAAGTAATAGGTTTACTGTGTTTCTTTCAATAATTTACGAAAATTATATAATCTTTATAAATTTTTTAAACTATCTTTTTTAAATATTAATAGTTGTTTAAATCTGTTGTATTTATAAAATGGATAAGATTAAGCATTTTGCGTAAGATGTTTGAGCCATAATTTTGCTAAATTCTCATTTTAGATCATTTCTTCCGAACAGCTCGTCAAGTTAAATTAAAGTGATGACTTTACGTTTGGAAACGAATCTTTCTTTGCTTCAAGAATTGGTATGTATTTCACTCTTAGACACTTTTGTAAATTGAGTTTTTTTTTTTTTACAATACCACTCAAACCACCTAAATTAAACAAAATAATAAAACTATAATTTCAACACGATTTGTTTTATGTCATTAAACATTAAGCATTTTTAAGTTGCTTTTCGAACAGTGAGCAATGTAGTATTAAAGTATTTTAGGAATCAGACTTTTTTTGATTCTTTTTAACAGTAGTTTTGCATAGAATTTGAAAAACTGTTGGTAGTGGGTATTATTAATTTCTGAATACACAAAGTAGTGAAGTTTTCTGAACAAAGTGTTATTTTTCAACAGTTGTGCAAAATAAGTCTCATTTTATGCATTCAATTTTTTAGGTATTTTCCACTTTATTTATTTTCAGATTCACAAAGATTCTGAATCATACAAGGACGAATTTCTAGGAGAATATAATTTTTACATTAAAACAATACAATTATTAAAATTAGAACCAATTTTAAATCATGCAGATTTGCAATCATTTCTTGAGCTTATCAATTTTTTGGCTTCAACTAGTAGCTATTATCCAAGTAAGTGCTATTTTTATATGAGAAATTTAAAATATGGAAAAGGACTTTGTGCTTTTCAATTGGTAACAATTTTATTCTACAGAACAAGGCAGAGACTATGTGGCTAGTATCATCGAAATCTTGAGTATTAGATCAACTGGACTGAATCCTGAGGTGAAGTTATGAAATCTTTTTCCATTATGTAATATTTTGATCAAGTACTAAATCTGCATCAAGTCAGCATTCTTCCTTTTCATGAAACTGCATATTCTTCTTGAATTCTTCCAATGTATGAAGCTTGTAATTTTTAAATTCATTTTAGATTCGGTTAGCATTTTGTAAAGCTCTTGTTGCGTTAAGAAATCGCAAGACTGTTGACCCGTTAATTGTTGTCGATCTTTTCTTTACGCTTGTTCCATTAGAAGATAAAAATTTGAGGTTTATTCTTCATCTAAAATCTGTAGTTGGAAAAAGTATCATCAAAACTATTTTGATTATTTGCTATTAAAAACAATGAAATTTGATTTAAACTTGTCAGTGCAAAATATAATCAACTATTGTAATAGTTAAATTCTTTAATATCCAGGAGGTTTATCTGTGGATCAGTGAATGCCTTAATAAAAAAGCTTGTATCACAAAATCATGATAGAAAGACTTTATTTAAACTTCAAACTTTCTTGTTCACAAAACTGAAGGATTCACGATCTATCGTGGTGCGCACAGCTGAATTGGTAAGGCTGTTATTCATTATTACAATCACGTTTAAATATATATTTTGTCTTTATTTCATTTTAAATTTGTCATTTTCATTTTACATTTTAATTATTCAAGTTAATTTGTTTTCAGATTTTGATTAATGGATTTCGTAAAGGTTTCTTAAGAGATGCAAAAACAGCTAACGTTTTGGCAGAGTGCTGTTTTCATAAAACATCGCGTATCCAGGTTTCATTAATTTTTATGATTGCATTGAAAATATCACTATTCTGCCAAGTTGGAGCGGAATTGATTTAGCTTGCTGAAGTTGATTGCATTGCAATTTATTTAGTTTGAATAAAACTGCATTGTACTTACCTGAAGTTAGTTTTACTTACTATGAACACTATTTTTAAGGTTGCAGCTATGAGGTTTTGCCTTGGGTCATTGGATGATGAATCTGATGATGATGATGATGAAAGTGAAAATGAAGATGGAAGTAATCAAAAAACTCTGAAAGAGGTTGATTTATTTTGGATCAAGTTGAGAAAGCGATAAAATTATTGTATAAAGGAAAGATAGTAAATAATAATTTGATTTGCATTAATTTGGTTTACTGCTTTTCTTTTAATCCGTTTTTTATACCGAAAATACACAAATTTGCATGTTGTAATGTTTTTAGATTGTTTCGGCATACAAAGCTTCGAAAAAAACTCGTAAAAAAAAAGAAAAATTCGATAGAGCAAAGAAGCTGCTAAGCAAAGAAAATAAATCCAAAAAACAAAACGCAAGGAAAGAATGCAATTTATTAGCTATTCAGTATATTTACGATCCTCAGAGTTTTGTAGATAAGTTGTTCAGTGCATTAGAAGGCAAGAAAAATGAAAAATTTGAAACTCGTCTTTTATGCATGGCATTATGTGCTCGAATGATTGGTATTCATAAGTTGCAAACATTGTCGTTTTATTCATATATGCACCGGTATCTGCAACCAAAGCAAAGAGAAGTTCGTTTTTTATTGTTATAATTATATGACTGTTCCCCAACGTATATTACTGAATTCAATACTTGAATACTTCTTAGTGTTTTCACTTGTACATGTAAAGTTGAATAATATATTTCCATGCTATAATTTTTTGGTTGTTTTTTTAGATAACAAGAATTTTACTATATGTAGCACAAGCATGTCATGAACTGGTACCACCAGATATTGTCGAACAACTAGTGTATGTCATCGCACAGAATTTCGTCTCTGATCGCAATACGTCTGAAGCAATCACAGTTGGATTGAATGCGATCCGTGAAATATTTGCGAGTTGCCCATTTGCTGCAACTGAAGATTTGCTTAGAGATTTGACTGATGTTAGCTTCTGTTTTTGTGAGGACAATGTCACAGTCATAAACTTTGGAATATCGTCATAGGTCGACAGAAAATATTACGCATTGTTTCACTATGCATTTAGTCAAGATATAAAAGTGCTTTAAAAACAACAATGTTTGCATTTTTCAGTACAAACGTTTCAAAAACAAGAATGTTTCCATGGCAGCCCGTGGTATCATAACTTTATTTCGCAATGTCAATCCGAAACTTTTGCACAGGAAAGATCGTGGCAGGTGCTTGTTACTTCTTACATTACTACGAAGTTTGAATTCTGTAAAGTTTTTTATATATTGCAGACCAACTCAGGCTTCAAAAGATTTGAAAGTAGCTGCATTCGGTGTTGAGCAGTGTCAAGAGTTCGTAGAAGGGGCAGAATGTTTACCCATTGAAGTCGATTCTTCTGAAAATGCTTTGGTATCCAAAGTTCTTATGTTTTGATCAACTTTTCTTTATTTTCTGGATGTTGCTCTGGATTTATTACACTACACATTTCAGTAGTCTTGTTTTATTGTTACTTTTTATAGACGAAATTTAATTGTATTAAATATCATATGCATCTATTTATATATCATTGATGCTTTTAATGTTTCCGTATTAGAGTCATGAAAGCGACCAATCAAACTCCGATTCTAGTGATGAAGTGTGTGAGGATGACTCTATGGATTTAGGAGAAATAAATTCATTAAGTAGCAATTTTCAAACTCTATCATCTGGTAAAGCAGGAGATAATGAAAACACCGCAGTTCAAGACAATCAGAAAACAGTAATTTATTTAGTGTAGTACTTTGTATTTGCCATCTTAGGAATTTGAAATGTCACATATCGTGTTTTATAAGATAATTTTTTGTGTTTTTAAAGATTTACTAGTTATGCATTGCATTCTCTTCATTGCTGTTAAATGCTCAGAGAAGCAACTTTGTTGAGGTAATCGAAAAAGCAAAACAAGTATGTGAGACCCGGGTCTTAACTCAAGAAGATTTTCGTAAAATAAACGCTTATCGTCTGAAAAAAGCTGTAGAATATAAAGGAAAGCGGAAAAATGATGATGTTAAACTGGAAGAAGAATTGCAAGAAACTATAACCAGGTAATTTTCATTCTCACATGGTCAGAAAAGAGAACCGCAAGTTTAGGAGGTTTTAAAATTCTGTTGAAAAGTGCATAATATTATTTTCCTTAAAAAAGTAACAATCATGAGGGAAACTGGATTAAATAATAGTAACTTGCATTAAATTCTAGAAATGTGAATTTCTTTTATTGATTATAGCAGTAAATGTGATTAATTGCATTTATCTGCAACTAAATTGATCCTCTTATGTTTGATGTGATTGAAAAAATCATAGACACAACGAAGAAAACGGTCTAGCACGGCTTAAAGACATTGAAAGGTTCCATAAAAAACTAAGAAGGGAAACGAAAGAAGAGCGAATGGGAGCAGTAAAAAAAGGACGAGAAGGACGAGACGTGTTTGGAAAGCCTAAAAAAACGGTAATTACTCTACGAGTTTTTGCATTTTGTGTGTAAATAGGATTTTTCGTATGAAAAAAAAAACAGATGATTGTAAGTTGTACAAAATATTAAAAATTTAGGGTGCACATGTCGGACGAACAAATAGAGAACTGACGAAGAAAAAAAATTTCCAAATGGTACGTCATAAACTGAGAGGGAAAAATCGCCAGAGAAGTTTCAAAGAACGCCAAGAAAGCTTAAGAAAATATCTTCTGCGTCAAGCTGGTCGAAAAGTTTGAGTAAACTGTTGTCCCTATTAAGCGGATGCGTTAACATTTGTTTGGTTTTTCTGGAAATAAATTATATTAGTTATGTGTCGATGTTAATTACAATTCACATTGCTGCTTGACAATTCATATTAATTCACCTTGGAATATTTGGTTCAGTTTTAATTTACTTATGTCATAACTAACACAAGTTTTTGCAAGAATATGTCAATGTATTATGAGTGGTTGGTAAAGTGTGGAAAAGCATTTTCAAAACGCAGCCATACTATAAACGGAAGTTACTGAAAGCGGGAAGGAAATAATATCAGTTTTGTACAGTGGTTGATAGTTTGGAATTGCATCATTTCCGTTTAGTAAGGTGTAAGTACTATTTGCTTTATTATGAGGGTGTTAGCCTCATTATATATTAATAAATATTTGAAAAGATAGTACGTAAGGGTTTTTCGCTAGCGTTGTTTTGGATTGCGTAGCGCATGAATAATTAATACAGTGCAGTTAAAGTGATGGAAAGGTGAAATTTGAATATGCGAGAATGAAAATTCATCCAAGTATAAAGTGGGAAACTTTTCGAGTTTTCATTTGCAGTTGCATAAAAATCTAAGCAGTAGTAATACCCATAGTATTAGTATCTAGCGTTTTTATGCTGTTGTGTAGACATATGCAACATCATTGTTTAATCTCTTAAGTACTTGCAGTTCATCCTTGTTTATTCAAGTGATTCCCACCTATCATTCACTTCATATCAATGCCTATTAGTAATGGTAAACTGTGGGAAGAATGTAGTTATGAGTCGGGTAAATTTTTAATCACAGTCACTAACGAAAGGTTTGAAACGGAAGAGTGAGTTTTATTCATTCATTTCAAAATATTTCCTCATGGTAACTTTGATACTTACATTTCGATCACCGGTGAGCAGTTTGAAGGTACATATATCTTCCAATTATTGAAAGCTAATATTTGATATTTTGCTAGTAAATTGACTCAATTTGTTAAATCCTAAAAGAAAGATAAGTAACATGGATATACACTTTGTAGCTAATTATGATATTAGTGAGGTTATAAAGTTATATCTGGTGATCATTTTAGCGATGCAAAAAGTCGATTGACTGAATACAACGAACGGAAATGGTACTGCCGGCACTTACCAAATGAGGGACGAGAATATACATTTAAAGATGCATTAACTGAGGAAAGACAGAAATTGGAACTGATCTGTAAACAATATTCACATTCTTTATTAACAGGCATATGCGAAGCCATACATCATGGTATGGTTGAATTTAAGATTTATTTGTGGAAAGAAAAGTAGACGTTTTCAAAAATGATTGTAAGTAACCTTAGCAAAGTTACAAGCATTATTATGACTTGGGCAGTTTGTGGTCATATTGACGTCATCATTTAATAAATTAATAGAAAATGAAGACCATATTCAGTATGAATTGAGCAGATTTGTTGTCACCATCAGTAATGAAAAGTTGAAAACGGATAGTGAGGAAGTGGATGAGTTTTGCATTTTCTAAGATAGTTTTTTTGATCCAGTACGTAATTTGCGTACATCAAAGTAAAAAAAGTAGGGACATATTTTTTTATCAACTTGTTTAACGAAGCTAACAAGTCTAAAACTTCTTTTTTTGACTAAGGATTTATCATGAGAATGATTTTCAGCTTACGGCGAAAAACAGTATCTTGTTAAGAAAATATGGAAACATGTGAATGGACACTACTATGAAGGCGAAACTGTTATTTACACAGATAAAAATAGGTATGTTTGTATTTGTGCTTGCAAAATTTTAGGAAAAGTAAATAAAAGTAAAAAAAAATTTCTAATTTCACTGTTCTGAAAATTGATTAAATATCGTTGCATAGTAGACAGTATAAATTTTGTTCACGGTTCTATGATCATCAAAATTTATGTTCAGAAATACTAGGAATTATTATAGAGGAGATCGAGAGGGAACAATAACTTCCGTGATGAACAGTGATAAGTGTGAAATGCAAAACAAGGAAAATGAAGTCATTTATTCCATTGCGCTTGAAAATGGTGAAGTAGTACAGAAATTGAATTCTCGAGAAATTAGGTAGTTTCGATTTCTAAAACGAACTTCGCTTTCCATTGTTGATATGATACTTTTCTAAAATTATTGATTGTTCTTGTTCAGGCGATCATCACCGATCACTGAAGATGAAATAAATGTTTTCCTCTCTCTTGTCGCCCATAAGAAAGAGAACAGCTTACCGTGGACTCTTGATAAGTCAATTCGAAATAAATTGGAGATTGCAAACAAATTGCATCATTTCTTTCTGAGGGAGGAAGCCAAGGTTTTCCTTTTCTATTGGCCTTTTTCTTTTGAAGTGTTTTATTTTGCTAGCAGTGATTGCATTGCAGACTTGGCCTGCTTATGCATTACCTGATTGGTTTGGTTTGCAAACCGAATATGATTTGATGGAGAAATCACACACGATGCATTCATTTATTGTGGTGTCAGATTGTTTGAGTTCGAAACAAAAACTCGAGTTAAACAACTCTGTGAAAAGAACAGAAAATTTTGATGCTGTATCAAGAAAAGATATGGAACAAATATCTGAAAATATCGCAACTCATAATTTTTGTAAGTCAGTTATTTTGAAAGAAACTCTGAAGGTTATGGTATATTTTTCTCATTTTGAAAATAGTTCACGAAAAACGAGATTTTGCGCAGAAAAAAACTATAATTTCCCTTTAAAGCTAGCAGAAAGAATGGAAGCATGGCAAAATCAAGCAGTTGTAAACAGACAAAAACGAATTCAGTTGATGATGAAAAATACAAGAAAAAAGCTGTCAGTTTGATTAAAAAAATTTCAATACTTAAGATTAATTGAGATCAGAGTATTAATGTTTCAATATTGATAAATCTTGTGGAGATTTATATATTTTGCTCTACATGTCTGCAGTATTTTAGAAAGTAACAGATTTGTTTTTGAAAAACAAAAGTCCATGGAAACTTGAAGTTGTATGAATCTGGATTCACAAAAGATATGATTTTATTGCTGAAATAAGCTCAAAAAAAGTTTCTAGCTGGGAAGAGCAGAATCAAGTGGCTTTTTTCTTATTTCACTTAACCGAAGAAGCTCTTGATTTTCTATTCGAAATATTGGCTGCTTATGACTGAAGATGCTAAATTTTTTTAGACTCTAGAAAGTTATCTTTTGCCATCGTCCTCGGTTACTCACAGTGTTGGTGCGTCACCGCAAACGTATAGTTACAGAAAATTGAGAATGTGCTTAAATCTTCTGATGAAAGCATTGGTCGCTTGTGACAATGAATCATTTCATCGTGCTTGTTTAACTGTTCTATCCATTCCTGTATCCGTGATACAGAAAGTTGAAAATGAAGTTATACGCTACGCGTTGCTGAAGCAGTTTTATGTGAGAGGATTTTTTCGTGGGTAAGCTATAAAAATTTCTCAATACCTACTTAGTTTTGAAGTCAGCTGCATCAGAATTTTATGCTTAATTGAAATCTAAAAGCAGTTATCAGTACTTTGTTGGATTTTTTATTTGTTTTATAGCAGATTCAAATTTTCAAATATCACAGATGCTATCGTACATTGTAAGATGGTTTATTTTTCAATGCTATTCATTTTCTTTCTGTTCTGCTTCCAAAATAAACAATGTACATGTAATTTTTTTTTTCTGTAGAATTTATAAAAGAAGCTGAGTCTATAAAAGAGATTACAGAGTTGAAAGATGTATCATGCGCTTTCCGGATCGAAGATTGGAAAGAAAGTTGCGCCAACTGCTGAATAGGGTAATATATTGAAATGTTTTAAGTGGCATTTTCCGGTACTTATCATTTTGCTCATTAATTTTGCAGAAATTAGATGACTTAGAAATTCCAACAACGAAATTTTTACCCGAGTTGGATATTGTTAGAAGCAATTCTAATTTCGCATCTTCTTTGGCTATCTCGCAGTTCATGCATATTTTTCGCTTTTTCATGCACTGCGATTACTCATTTTCAGCAGGTTGTATCGTTGTTGCGAAACTGTACTTATTTTTTATTGTTCCAGAACCGACGTCATTTTTCTTTAACTTATTTTGATTTCACATTTTGCAAAAAAATTTACTTTTTTGTAACAGTTATGTCATTTGTTATTCATGTTTTCAGATGTTTTACTTAAAGCTACCGAAAATGGCAAAAATGGTTTTTTTACAGTTACTAGCAAATATATGATTGCACTTTTGAAAGTCATCTTACGGGATGAGCAAAATACGGTCTTGTATTTAATTAATTATTATTAACTTAAGTAAAAAAAATATTTAACGCCACAATGAATATTTTTCAGATCTTTTAAAACTTGTCATAATTCGTACCACAAGTTTGGACTGCAAAACTTTTCATAGAAATTTTTAAATATTGTTTGTGAGCTTTTTTTGGTTTGTAAGAGTGGTGTCGAAATCGTGCTATTCATATCTATACTCTTTTGGCCTAACGATGTAGATATTTAGATCATTTAAACTGTTACATGTTTTACGCATAATCCAGTTGATCTGTGTAAAAGCTGTTTAATTTTTTTAAAGAACTATCATGCGTATGGTACGGATCTGCATAAAGTACCTGTTACGTTAGGAACGGTGAGTGAATTAACCCGTTTAGTAATTATGGAAAGTGGATTATTGAAACATGGTGGATTTCCGGATGGTAACAATTTAGGAAAAGATAAGCATTGTATGATAGAAGCTTCAGAATCTTTGAATTTACGTGGTTCGTATAATCATGAGGTACTTTTTCTACTCTTTACTGTATTAATGAGTATTGAATTTCAGCATGCAATCTCGTTAAATTTCTGATTTATTGAAAATTAAGATATATCCGTAGAAGAAGAATTTAATTCATTTGATTTAAGGCCAAATAAATTTCACTTATTTTTAAAGATATAGTTCAGTACAAATTTCTACCTTTTTGTGGTCCAGAATCTCATAACGTTGTAACATATTGATTTCAGTCTATGTTGGTCGCTAATGATCTCAGTTATCAATCATTTCATGAGTTAGCATCTCATGTGCAGATTTCTATTTTGGAATACCTAGTACAGAAAGTGATGGATAGCATCTCTTTCAGTAGATATTTGAGCCGAACTCTAGACTCAGATATTTCATCTCTTAAACAAGCAAAAACAGCAGCACAATCGAAAGTGAGCTTATACTTTTCTATTTACAATTTTCTTGAGGTATGCATTTAGAGATATTTGGTTTCAGAAAATCTCAAAAATATTATTTAAAGCTTACTTAATTAGTCCTTCTTTGCCAAATTGAAAGCAGTAAAGTCAAGGAGTGAGTAAAAGATAAGTGTTTTGATATGTAGCTGGAGATTTTTCCTAAAAAAAGTTTTTTAAGATAAAGAAGCTGAAAATTGCTCTTGAAGATTGTTCATCAGCTCTGCCCAATTCAGTCATTAAGCTGGAAAACGAAGAAAGTGGATTTATAGAAGGTGTGACTGAACAAAAGCGTAAATTGGAGTCAGAATTAGAAGCTGCAACTGCGCAATCAAAACTTATTGCTACCAAATTATTAGTATGCTTCACCAACTTCTATAAATTTCCTTAATTTCCCATATATTAAATTTGCAATCCCGTTGTTTCTGATTCATTAAAAAGTGTTTAAGATATATCATCCTTGCAATATTATATTAATATCTTATTTGAAAATGTTATTTTTTATAGAATCCTTTGCTGATTACTTCCATTTTGCTACAATTATTTTTGTAGAATATGATGGATATTCGTAATGTTTGTTTATCAATACAGCCACTTGGTTATGATCGATTCCATCGTCGATATTATTTTTTTTCAAATTCGCCGAACAAGGGAATTTTTATTGAAAGAGTAGTTTTTTTCTTTATATTATTTTCTTATTACTATAATCGAGTTTAATGTTTCTTCTCCTTTTGTCTTCCTTCCTTCTTATTATTTACTGTCATCATTATTACTATTTATTATTTGCTTATTTGTTATTATTTTTTATTATTGTTATTTTTATGTTATTATAGGGATGGTGGAATTGTATTTCATTTGGAAATAAAGATGATTTTGACGAATCGAATGCCATAAATATAGACGCTAACAAAATTTTACCTAGAAATGAGAAATCTTTGGATTCTTTCAGAACATTAACTTCCACAGATGAATTTACAAATCACGAAATATCGTAAGTTATTTTGACTTTAAAACCATGTTTGATGATAATTGTTAGTGCTTGGTTATGATTGTTCAAATAGATTTCGCTTTATATATTTTTTTGGTGTTTCTGCACTACAATACATTTTTCCAGTCGATATGCTAATTTCTAAATAGAGTCACCTTTCAAAAACTCTACCAAATTGTAAGTCATATAGTACTTGAATAATCTAGTATAATTTATATCTTAAATCCAGAAACAAACTAGTAACAGAACGTTACTGTTTTTTCTTCATTCAATAGAAAAAATTCAAAATACATGATCTATTTACGCTTCAGATTCATATTTTTTATGTCTCGAAGTTAAAAAATTATCGGCAAATCACTTTTGTGTAATCGTCTTACTTATCTCTGAATTTTTTATTTACAAACATAAGAAACATAAAATCAGTTACAAATCAATAATGCTTACTCAAATTCACTTATTAAATATGACTATTAATATCATTTTCATTATTCGAAGTATGGAATGAGTTGAAATTTGTAGATCACCAGCAGGATTCGAATCCAATGATTGGTACGTCATTAAAGATGAAAGTACGCTCCAGCTTCTTTGTTCAAATTTATTAACAAATGGGCATCGCGAATCAGCTTTGTTCAGTTCTATTAAAAAAAAATGGGACGACATAATTGCATCTCTGTAAGCCTTTTTTTGTGAGTCATGGTTGTAATGCCCATATTTTATTGTGTACTATGTACAAATATTCAGGAGAATGGTGAACGAAGACTCGAGTTTGAAAATGGAGACTGATGTAACTGAAATAAATCTTTTAAAAAGAACTTTGGTTCAGCTGGAAAGTGCCTTGCGAAAGGAAAAATTCATCAGTGGAACAACAAACGTTTTTGATGATAAAAATAATTCTCTCAGCACATTTGAATCTTTAGTTAATAAGTTCTACATAAAGTAAAGAAGAATGCGAATTTAAATTAATAGATAGCTAATTTGATCCCTTGATCGTCATGTTAATTTATTGCAAATATTTAGGATGTTTCATTTTTAAGAAATCTGTGGTGTTGAATTTTCTCACTCTGATTGCTCCAAACGCATTTGTGAAATTACGACAGACTCGTTCAGCATCTGCGTACAAAGTCTGGAATAAACATTTATCAGAAGTTCGCACTCTTTCACAGTTTCATCTTCTAATTAAGATCCTGGAAATGAATATTGCTTGGACAACGCCATTAATAAAAGTATTTTTTCGAAAATTTTTGTACTGTTGTTGACAAATATTTGAGAACTTTGGGTTCATTATATGGTAATAAAATAAAAAAGTTTGTAATTATTGATTGCTTGAGTGGTTCATCTTTATTTTTTTAGTTATGTAGCCTTTGTAAAAAGGAAATCGAAGAAGAGTCATTGTTTTGTATTACATGTGACGATGTTGCCCATCGTTTGTGTTTAAGTACATTTGATGGCGATATTCGGGAAAACGATTATAATTACCAGTGTTTTATGTGCTCAAAAGTAAGCTATTTATTTGTAAATTTGTTAAAATATAAAGCTTCTGGCTTTCGCTAGGCAGTACCATAATGTGTTCACGTTTTAACATATTTTATTTACATTTATTGTATGAATATTTTTCCCTTATTTTTCAAAATTTATGATTGTGAGTATCATACTCAGATTTCGTAACCAGAATTAATCATAATCTGAGCTTGACAAATTTAAATTATCAAGCAAGTTGTCTAATGTAATATAAAAATTGTTATTATCCGAAAACAAATGACTTAACGTATTAATGTTTATGAATCATGACGAAATTTGCCTACTGGTTTGCTGTTTTTAACATAAGATGGTTCAGAGTTATCGTTATATTTTTTATTGTATTTTAGAAGGACATGTTTTCCAAGTTGGAGCATGACAGCCGAATTTTCAATCGTCTGTTAAGTCTGTCGCCTGTGTTGAAACCTGGTACATTTCAAGAACTTTCTTTAGAATGGATCAAAAAAAATTTACATATGGTATCATTTTCTACATTTTACAATGTGTTCTTTTGTTTTTGAGATTCTAGAAAGTGTTGAATTGTAATTTAGACATATTAGATTCAAGTTTATTTTAATTAGCGGTTTCAGTTTCCTGGATAATTGTGTCCTGATTACTTTACCACGTATTGTAAGTTTTTGAGAGTGCACTGATACTGAATCATCATTTTTATGCTTGTCAGTATTTATTGTTTATTATATAGAAAATTATCAGATCACTCTCACTTTCATATGGGCAGTAAGTTTAATGGCTTATTTTATTTAATAATTAGTTTTTGTTCTTTATTTCAGTACAAATCAAAGAACGACCTTCGAAATGATTTGCTTCTTTTTCTCAACTCTGGAGAACAGTTCTATGCGGTGATTTTTATTAAAACATTTATTTACATTAATTTTTTTTTCATTTTTTTCAAACGAAAATCAAATGACTGTATGCTGCTTGTTTACGATCAAATTTTATAACCGGTTGATGATGTATAGTTTTTAATTTTCAAAAGTCGAGTTTGTCACCAATATATGGTGATATTTGTTACCAAAGCTATTTCAAATCAATGAGAGAAATAAAAATGTGTTAGAAATTATGTGAGAAGGATCTTCTTTCGTAAAAGAGGTTGTTGCGAATCATAGATAATAGAATGAATGTTGTTAATTTTGCAGGATAATGAGAGAAAATTACCAAAGATTCAGCAAATTAAACGCGAGATAATGAATTGATTAAACTGCTTATCTGTATTCTAATTGTGGCAATCGATATCTTTTGTATACTGAGCAATTGTATGTTGTATTGGTGTAAAATTTTTACCTTGAATTTTAGCTTTGACTGTGTATTAATTTATTTGGGGATCAGATCTAAAAGTCATGAAATGTAATGTACAGAATTTTTCTTAAAAAGAATATATGTTGACTTCATTTTTTTTGGTTTTACTAGGCACGAAGTGTTAGAAAGTTTAGGAAATTGTTGTTGGTATGAATGTACGGAATAGTTTAGATCTTTACACATACAATGTAGAATAGATTGGTAGATTAGTTCAGAAAGGCTGGTCAAACTCGTATGTCAAACTCATATGTCATTGGTTGTCACTTCTCACAAGTAAATATCTTGAATGCGGTGTCATAATAAATTAATACACATGTTATTTGTGTTTGAAAATTAATGAATGAGTAAAATTAGCAACTGAAAATTTCCACAGTTCAATTCTGACATATTAAGGAGAATATTTACTATACTCGTGTGTTTAGCTTCATTCGAGTTAAAAAATTATGCAAACGATTAAGATAACATGCAGAGCAGCTTTTATACACAACGAAATGCGAAGGGAGATTTGAATAGTTGCAAGTGCTTTGTATGCATTGAAATTTTGGACTATCAGACGACATTTCTACCGTGACACTTTTTAAATTTGTATTTACAAGCCAGCAGTCGTGATCTTACATTTTTCATATATGAATTGAATTTGTCGAAGATACTAATCACTAGTACTTCGTTCAAATTAACACATCACCATTCTCTTTACATGCATTCCGCTGAACTTATCAATTTACACAATACAAAGAACTAAAATTGATTAAAGAATTGAAAAATTTAAACTCGTTTAGACGCATAATAAAAGTGTACTACAATGAAAATCAGTGATAAAAACCCTAAAAATCATGTCAAGAAATAAAAGTCTCAAGTCATGCTTCAAGGGAGACTTTTTTAAATGAAAAATCAAATAAACTCAGTGATCTAAGACAGAAAACTTTTTCACAGACTACTTCTACATCTACATTGACATTGTCTGTGTTACCGATGAAGGTAACGAAATAAAAGCGGGCATACTTTGCGAGGCGATTATTCATGAAAGAAAGTTTCTGTTGAAAAGTACGTAACTTCATGCAATATCATTTCTCCTCCATACTCTTTTTGGTACTTTACTTTTGATTCTGAATTTTTAATTGCTTTTAGATAAATCTAAACGCAGAAAAAAACTACTATACTTTCATTCTATATCTAGATATGAAAGGAATTAAAGCTCCCTAAATTCTGAATAAATAATGGTTTTCGAGCGCTAATACCGAGAACGATGAGGAAGAGATAGGATTAATTTGCATCCGCCATTGATCAAAATATCTGCCAAGAGAAGGTTAAATTTTTCAGAAGTGTTTTCTAGTACTGATCACCTTAGAAATTTGGAGATAAAATGAACCACCCAAAAGAAAGAACAAATAAAATGGGGACAGTTTTGCACAGTACTAATTTAGACAAATTTCAAGGCATATAAAAATATGTACTGATTGAGAAATTAAAAGCTCTACTTCTATGCTAAAACCACAACATGCAATTCACAACCCATTTATTGCAACAAAACTAATTAGATACAACTTTTATTATGCACAGTTTCCCTATAGTTTTACAATGATTATCTCACACATGGAAAAAGCAAGCATTCAGAATATATTAAAAATACAAACAATATACAAATACATCTAGAATAATCCATAGTACAGCATTGGCCAGTATTAGTAATCTTTAAAAGCTTCCTTTTTTATAATCACAATTTTTATTACATTTTTAAGATATCAAAAAAAAGCATCAATTAAAAATGCATTTACAAAATAAATCAATGCAGAAACTGTTTAGCATATATCATTATAGCTTATTACAAGCATTGCAACAGTACAACAGAAATCAATCAACCCAAGTCAGCAAATAAATAATTACTCTTCTGACTTCGGTTCTTTAAGTAACAAGTAACTGAACGTGGTAAAAATTGATAACTAATCAATAGTTAAATTCATCCCTTTCTGCTCCAATTTTTCTTCTTCAAGCACCAAATATGCCGCCTCTAAGAAAGTGATGAGGATCTGCAATGAAAATATAAATGACAAACAAATAATGAAAACTTAATTAACATTATCAAGTTACTTAATAATTCGAAAGGCTGCAGCGAGTAAGCCATTACGAAAAATAAAATCTGATAGTCTAGCCCCTTTTCCAATCGTCAAACATTTTAAATAAACAGAAAATAGTTCAACCATTTTATATCTTAATACAATAAAATCTCTTACTTGATCAAGTCGAAGTCCATTCCGACTTGATAGTAATAACATGCTGACTGCACTTTTAATGCGGTTAATGAGTTGCTGCCGATTTTGTCTTTTGAAATGTGCTAATCAGCAACTTCAATAAAAATTATGCTGATAATGCCCAGCTCTGTGCTCTTCAAATTTTGTTCATAAAAATCACCTCACTCGGATTTTTCAAAGTGCAAGTCAATACCGGATACAAAAATCATCAGTTGTTGATCTTCATATTCCCATAACCATTAGTTCTTCATCACAAAGATGAAGAACTGTGCTTCGCTTTTTCATCTTATCCATAGTGTATCAGATTTGCCTGCCATGGGAATCCATAGTACCTGTTTCATCCAGGTACTTCACATCCAACAACTGTAGGCTGCATATCCAGACTGCATCGCTAATTCTTATTTCAGGATATATTAAAATTTTCATTCGCCATAATAAACGTCCACATATAATCAGCGAATTCACAAGTTGTATTAATTATATTAAGAAATATAAAATAGTACGCACTCTTCTTCGTCACAAGTGCGCTCATTCTCATGTTTGTAGAATCCGACTTTTTCTTCATAAATATTACAAAAATTAAATCTCTTCTTCTTGTAGTAAAATGAAGTCCTGCTTTACTAAATCCATGATTTCTTCGATTTTCTCCAAATCACAACAATTTCTACAACTGTTGATTGGAAGTTTGGTGCTTCTCTATAGTGTTTTATTGCTGCAAAAAAAGAAAACTTTAGAAATATGACATGAAATGAATAGTATCACGCGAAATATCATCATCACAAATAACAGTTACGCTAACAGCGAACGTAGCTCAAATATCGTGCCCTCAATTGAAGACTACTGTAATCGAATACAATAATTTCAATAATTCAAAACAGACAAAAAGTAGATAGTTTTAGTAATGTTGGATGTAGAGATCGAAAATAATACTGCTATTCATGTCTTTTATTTTCACGACTAAAAGCATACAGAATAATTAAGAATTAAAATCTCACAACATAAACTTCAACAAGTTACAAAAACACGACCGTCTGCACGCCTACAGAAAAGAAGGAATGACACAGTTCTGCTCATAATTATTACTTTATCGGTCAAGCTAGCAAAGCGAAGCATAATGCAACTGCTTCAGTTGCACAAAAAGGAAGTATGACAACATAATCCCAAAGCAAATGAGAATCAAGCAATTTAGAAGAGTGCATATGAAAGCTATGTCTTGTTTCCAGGTCATTACAGAACTGGCATTAATTGCTATACTGTAGCAAAGAAAGGTTTTTTTGTTGCAATTACGAGGTGCTCATTTTGCTATTATAAATGTGGTCTGTAGCATTTCCAGCTCTGTTAAGGAACTTTATCAAAATATGCAAGTCATAGAAGATTATTTTCAAACGAACGTAAATAATTTACATTCATATTTCTTAGCAAATATATTAGAATTGTTGACAAAAATCTACCTAACGCTATATAGCAGCTAGTTTCTTGGATAATTTTAGAACTATATAGAGAAGATAAATATTGATGTGAGATATTCAAATTTGTACATCAGAAAAATCATGTTTAGCAATCAGCATATTATGCGATCAATTCTACAGGTTATTAAACCATCCGAAATACCAGAAAAAAGGGTTTGAAATGGAAAGAAAGTTTGAGATCTCTATTTGATTGCTTAGAATTATTGAATATTGAGAATTGATGAGAGAATTTACCATTCAATCATTTCATGTTTGTAAGCAGAAAAGAAATACCTTCACAAGTGTATCACGTATTTACGTCTTGTACACTTTTTATAAATCAAATTCAACTATCTCATTAAGATTTCACTGTAATTATCTAAACTTTCTGCCCACTTTTTGTCTTTCACAGAAGAAAATACATGAAACAACGTTTTTTGACATAATAACGAAATAAATTAATTGGTACTAGCAATTCGAAAATAAATATCATTAGCTTAATTGGAACACAACTATAATGACAGTATATTCCATACTTCATAATGATAGTTTTTCTTAATAATTGTCATCATCAGTTCAAGATGTATTTAAAGGCACAGAATACATAGTAAGCAAGTTGCAAAAAAAGTTTGAAAAAGAAAATGATTCTTACAAATACTTTGCAGAGATTAATTATCTATTTAATTTTTGTTCTAATAATTTAACTTAAATTTTTGTCTTGGCAACTCGCTTAATTCTTATTGTCTTGCTGAGATCGCAAATAAGACTCCAAATTGGTTTCACACTTTTCAAGTGACACACTATCTTCTGTATTTTCGTGATATTTTCAGCATCTAAAGCCATGCCCGTATTTGAACGAAGCAAACTGCTCAAACTTCCTAATACGGACACAGCATTAGGTTTTACATCGTTGTTGTTTTGATCTGATGATAATGTGATTTGTTGAGTAGATGATGAGCTGAGATCTGTACTTTGATCAGATACTGTTTGAGATTTAAAGCTTTCCAAATATTCACTTCCTGCCTTATCTGTCATTTCGGAATTTGGCGTGTAAATTGTCTCCTGGAGAGTTCCTTCTGAAAGAAATATTTTAAATAACTGCAGAATATGTGACAATAAGTTTCTATTTTGAGACTTAAATTAAGTCCTGATTAAAACGTTTTTAAATAGTTTGTTCGAGATAAAATTTACTTCCTTCAATATTACCTGTGCTTCCGAAGTTATCATTCATAGTACCATTGCTTTTTGTCACTTCATTGATAATTGTACTGAAAGTTGATTTTTCAACTTCTGATTCCTTAATATTATTTGTTGTATTTTGTAGAGTAAAGGAATTTGTTACATCTTTATCAGTAATTGGTGTAACTTCATAAGTACTGTGCATAGGATACGTTTCGTTTTTTTGCCTGTCTGTAATATATGTCTTCTCACCAACATTTTGAGTATATTGGGTTTCTGGTTGTACAGTGTCAGTTTTGATACTGTCTATATTTTCAGGAGTTATTGTCACATTATTAATTCCATCGGCACTCACAGTAACAAATAGCAATTCGTCGTCACTATTTTTATTGGAAATTGAAGTTTTACTCTCATTACTTATTGCATCATTAGTAGAAACTGTGGTAGAAGTAAAATCTACGTCAGTATCGATGTTATTTGCTGCTGAACTTGATTCGAATTCAATACTTGTGGATAAAACCATATCGGATGTAGAAGAAAACTCATAACTGGAGTTAAATTTATTATTTGATTGTATAGCTATCAGTGTTGTATACTGGTATTTTTTGTTTACAGGAAATCTTGAAGATAAAGTGCTATCGGTTATTGAGCTTTCTGTAATTATTAAGGGAGAAGACAGCGATGGTGTGAAGTAGGATGGATCAGATGAGTTAATCAATTGCAGTATTCTTGTAGTACCAGTAGTAGCAGAATCTGATTGTACTGTAGTTTTTGAAAAATTAAATTGAGAAGGAATGTGAATTAGTGGCTGAAGTTCGTTAAAATCATCAATTTTCTGACACTCATGATGGGAAACATCAAGTCCTATTGTGATTACAGTAGCTTCTGAACGTCCATGATCATCAGTTGCTCGCGCTGTCATGCAATATCCATCTTTTGACGGAGTAATATCCTTCTTTAAAGTTATTTCACCTGAAAAATAACGAAGAATTCAATTTTTACAATTCTTTTAATGAGGAGATTAAACTATTTCAGTATGTTTTCTCAAATATATTAAAGAATTAATATGCCTGCTGACATTGTTGTGTTGATTTTTTTGATATTTAAAATGTAACTTGATTTGATTTTTTGATTTTATGTTTTGTCAATAAAAAACTAATATGCTTTAGATACGCTCGATCTATGTGCTTTAAATATTCTCATTCAACAAGTGTAATATATGCTTAAAATAATTACAGATGATCTAACTATAAGCAATAAACAATGAAAAGCATCTTTTTTTTTAAAAAATTTTGTTTCGTTTATTGAGTTTAATTAATTAAGCATAATTTGCCAATTTTTACCAGTTATTGGATTGATACCGAAGTAATCATTGGCTCTGCTGGAATTAGTATAAAGTTCATAACGAAGGACAGATTGGCTTGGTGAAGTAGCAGTAATTTTAGCAATTGTATCACCAATTTGTGGCCAATGTTCGAGTACAAGAGGAATATTGTAAGTTGGGAATTCAAAACGTGGACGTAGGAATACTTCTGCGTTACCGTAAATTATTTCGTACGTAATAATTTTTGATGATGTGAGTGGATTTTCATCGATAAAATGAACAAAATTCTAAATAGCACAGTCAAATAAAAGCAGAATGAAATTCTTAGCAAGAGTTTATTATTTTATCTCTAAAAGAACAAAATCGTTTTATTTTGTCTCTTAATTTTAAATAGCTGTTTTGGGAAGGTATTTTTTATCATTTTTTTTGTATTTTTACTACAGTATCTAAATTCAGTATCTTTGCTTACTTCTCCATCATTTGAATTCCAGACATGTCTAGGATCAACTAGATTCAGTATGCCATCATTGCCAATTTGATTTACACGCAACACTTCGACATTTGTGTCTAAGTCACGAGGAAATGGGACACGTGCATAAAATGACGTAAGTGGCTGTGTTAGTTCATTGAGTTCAAATGATGCAATTTGTTGCCGAAATGATTTGCCATCGCTAACACCACGTTTTTCATCTAACTGAAACATTTCGTGTACCACAAATAATTTGAATGAAACTGTATTTCAATAAAATTTTTGTTAAAATTTGTCATAAGTAAAAGCACTTAAATAATAAATCATATTAAGACAGAGTTAATAATAAATATTATAAAACAATGAGTAAGTAAATGAATACTTTTACAAAATGCAACGGTGTGATAGTACGCATAATTGTTTTTTCTTTGTCGTAATAATAAAACGAATTTGGAATGGTATTAGGTGAAATAAGAAATTTTTCTGGTGCGATAAGCTGATGAATCACAAATGTTCGTGAATCCTCAAGTTCAAGCAGTTTCCCATCCATCGATATTGTCAGTTTGAAGTAAGCAATTTTCGCCTGCTGAAGCAAAGCTTCTTAAAATTTTACAAATAGGCTATTGAAGTAGGGATGAAATAATTGCTTAGTGGATCAAGTTGATTTTTTACATTAATTTGTCGGAAGTATAAAGTGATACTGAAGCTAAAAATATGCAGAATTTTAGAATGCCAATGTCGTAATCCTATTTATCTTTTATATAGTTAGAGCAATCAGTTAGCTGGGACGACAGACTTTAAAAGCTAATTATAATGGTAGAATTTACTTTAAGCAATTTTATTTTTTGTTCAAGTATTTGAATAAAGTAGTGAATAAAGTAATATTCCACCTCTTTGTAATTAGGGGTAATTTTATATGTAACGTGAATAGTTTTTCCTGATTCGATGAATGGAATTGTGTATTGCAAATCAGAAGTTGACATTTTATTTCCGTTGTTGTGATCAATAATGATATAGCTGACTTGATATGGTATGAAAGACTGCTTGGTATTTGTTGAGACTATGGATATTCGGGTTTCTTCAACTTTAACGTTTCTGAGATTCGAATATCTGAAAATGCAACTTCTATATGTTTGAGCAAAAAAAATAGCTTAGTAGTTTGTATTATGTAAATCATTGTATTGAGATCATTTCAAACTCTGAAAACAGTATTAAAAATATCAAAAGTTTGGCTTACCCAGCATTAATAAAGGCAACCATAACGCTGAAATTAGAAGATAATGAATCCAAATTTGTAGTATTCTCCGAAGATGTGAGATTTGAGAAGAAATAATACATTTTCAAAGATGGCCGTGGACGATATATTACAGTTTGGGTTTCAATTCTTTGTACATTTCTATGACCATTTCGAGTGAATTTGAGATTCAAAATTGCCTACAAATATCTTAAAAAAATACGCTTAGATTAAGTTGTTTTATATGATACATAATCCATAACCAATCTGAGAAAAAGTATCGTTGCTCAGTTTCAATTTTAACTTTATAAAAATATGAAGTGTTTTTCTTAGTAAGGTTGCAGCTGACTTCATTACTTTCTCATCAAACAAAATAATGAAATCGTAGTAATTTCCTTCTTTGAGACTTTTCTTCAATAAGTAATTTATTTATGGAAAATTTTATTAAGGTGCTATTTAGTTAGATAATTATAACACAGTTCAAGAGTGTTTGTACCAAATTCAGCTTTTCAAGAATTTTTCGGTATTTTTAAATGTTTTCTCGTAATCCTGACAGGTACTATCTTTATACACAAACATGCAATACAAAATTATATATGGTTTGAATTTATTTTACTTGATATTCTGTTTCCCGAATCAATCGAGTGGTTCTTCTCGGTTTCAGTCTCCAATATGCAGTTAAAGCTGAGTTTGCAGGTAATTTTGAAGAACCGGAAATGCTATCAATGCCATCTAATTTGAAAAGTTCAATGAAAAATTGAATTGGTATATTGTCATCACGATTTTGAGCCATTTCCAGTGTCAACTTTACAAACTCCAAAGGATCTTTCTGAATAAAATAATATAAGTTTATAAAATTTTATATCATAAAAAACTTCTTGAAAATCCAATTTTCTCAATTTGATTTTTACACATATCACTGAGACAGAAATGCTCACGTAACGTTTCATCATTTTATAAGTAAAATTTGTTTGTTTGTTTTTCTGGTTAGAAAAACATATTTTATAAACTTATTTTTGAAATGAATGATATAAAATAATAAATTAATTGTAAAATTTGTTACAATATTCAGATGTAATGAAAAACTAAGAACTGAATACCTTTTTATTAATAACTTTTAACTTGAGATAAAATTCATTATATTCAAAAAGTTTTTCAGGTGTTATCAAAGCGTAAGCGATGGCGCAAACATCGTTATAATCATCTTCAGTTTTCGTAAACTTTTGAAAGCCTGAATGATTTTCCATTTCAGCAGATAACAATCTCTCCATGTAATTATGAAGTAATGCAAAAGGGTTTTCTGCACCATACTGAAACTTATCAGTTTTCATTCATTTCATTTCATGTAACTATTCCAATTCGAGTTGAAAATAAATATTATAAATTGGTTTTAAGTCAGTACCTAAAATAATTCACAGCACTTTAACAAATGCTCAAAAATCTATCTCAAACAACTTACAGTATTTGTTTAAGCTTAAAAAACATACAGGTGATTAAAGCATGACATGACATGTATTGAAGATATCTTCATACCTGTTTTGTGAGAGTTTTCAAGCGATCTGAACGAATGACTAATTCTCGAAGATCAGTAAATTTGATCCCTGCCAGATGATGAGTTTCAATGAAAGGGTCAGAACCCATCAACCATTCGCGAACTGTAGCATTCCATCGATGAATCAAATCCATGCTTCCTTCATCTTCAACAACAATCATTTGTTGCATTTTGAAAAATGCCCAAAGATAAATAAATTTTGGCTGAAGTTGAAAGATGATCAAATTACATCTTCCTTATTGTTTACTTTAATATTTGCTAATAGAAAATCTGTTCTCTATTACAAAATAAACAGTTAGTTACTTTTCAAAGTAGTATATTCAGCTTCACTTATTGCCAAGCCATTTTCAGATGATTCAGATATATATTCGAAGAATTTATCATACCATTCCCTGCTTTTAATTTTTTCGAAATATTTGAAAGGCAGCAGAATCTGCAAAATTTTTTACCGAATATTGGCTAAGTATTATTGATATTATTAGTAGATAAATTTTACAAAATTCGAAAATATAAAATGAGAGATAGAAAATTTTTTTCACACTAACATTGAGTTGCTCAAAAAAAGCATAATATAGAGCAGGTGTATTTACTGCTTCTAATCGTAACACATTTAAGACTGGAAAATATTTGTGTAGCATACCATCAGCTTGTTCATCCACTAATGAAAGCTGAAAATTTGCGACTCTAAATTTAAATTAATTAAAATTTTATGAAAATTAAATAAAAAATTCATATTAAAAAGATCTTTTGAGACTTTGGCAAAAACTGCATTTAAAAATGCTAATGTACTAATCAAGATAAATTCAGAAGAGCGCTAGCATTTTTTAATGACAAATTCTGATGAATAAATTCAACGTAATAAGTTACGTTGGATAGACGTTTAAGTAATTAATTACCAAAAAGTTTTAGTTGAGTATACTTTTCAAAGATTGATAGCTGCTCCTTTGTAATGATAATGCTAAAAAAATTGCGCTTGAATTTCACATATTGACTTTTTTTTAAGTCAAGTATTCCAGAATGTGTAATACTGTTTATTTATGTATGCACAAAATATGTGCGATTTTGGTTTTTGATGATGAATACAATTATGTTATTCGCAGAGCTAAAATTCTTTTGCGAAATTTTACCAAAATTTAAATACCTGATCAAAAAACTGTCCGCGTTCACGTCGGTCTGTAGTTGACCTAATTTTTAGCGTACGTCGATGACGGTTTATTGAACAGCGATTGTCAAGAGAAGCAGCACAGCTATAAAATTTATGTATGGGAGCCTTTTTGTACTGGGCTATTAATGCATAAATTAGTTTTTTTTCAAGCTTATGAAACGATGAAAGTAATATTACAGATTAAAGAGCGATTAATTCTAATTCTCATATCCGAAATTTATTTATAGAAGATTCAGTATTCTTTTTTTTAATTCCAGAAACAGTAAGACTTCTTTCAGAAGGAGCGTTGAAAAAATAGTAACTGACCTTAACAGTTGCTTCATTTTTTGAAAATCAACTTGATTAGCCTGACATTCAGCAATCATGGCAATGAACATTGCAATCGTCTCTAGTGTTACTGTATCATCAGGAATATACTTCCAGGAACTACCACACATAGCTGCCGAAACATACTTTTGACGACAAATTTCTTTGGTTTTTGTTGCACAATCACAGTGAATCATAGTTTTTGACCAAATTGAAATTTCTTTCACCGCCATTTCTAAGCCCACTAAAAGTTTCACGCTTTTATTTGATATAAATGAACTTGTACAGTTTTTCAACTGTAATTAATTACAGCAACAATAATCATTTTCTTTTTTTTTTGAAAATTTATATCTTATGAATAATCCACTTAATATTTCACGACTACTACGTAATTAATTTTAAAGTACGTAAGGAAGATATTTTTTGAGCTTTCTATACCACTGCAATCGCAATAACTGAAAAAATTTTGACTATTCAAATTAATAATAAAACTACCTAATTGCTTTATTGTGATTTAAAACAGATTCTGAAAATTCAAAAGCTTTACATAAATAAAAAAACTTGAAAATATGAATGATTGAATCGTTAAAAGCACCTTTACATAGATGAATTGCTTGAGCTTCATTATCTCTTTGATCAACTAATACTTGAATATTTTGAGCATAATTTGTCATTAAATTCTGTATCATGTAGATGTATGGGATTTGTACAACAAATGTGTTGCACTCAATGTTGTTCATAATTTTTTCAGATAAATATGATAGCTGATAATAAATTGGGTAGCCATCCCCAGGTCCTAGACTGTTGTTGAATTCTGGCTATAAAGTTTATTCATTTATTGGCTTTATCTTTTTTTTACAAAAAAAATGCAAATAAGTTGTATATTTTCGTCAGTAATTTCAATAAAAATAAATATTTTAATATACCGTTGCCAAAGAGAACGAGAGGTATTGGTTATAGATTTCTACAGATGGTAGAATAATGATACTACCATTTGCACCTTTATCATCGCTTTGTACAATCAACTTTACCATTTTTGTACCATTTTGAGGTGCCAAAATTGAGGATGGAATTAGGTAAATTTCCGGAAATGACATCTGTAAAAGTTTATGACTGAATGCATCTGAAGAGATATTTTTCAATAATAATGATTTGCTATTCATTATTATTATTATTATTGTAATTGATTTGTTATTAATTATATTTATTATTTGTAATAGTATTAAATATAATAAATAAATAAGTATAAATAATGACAGCAGTAATAATAATAATAATAATAATAATAATAATGTTACTGCTGTCATTATTAATGTACAGATTTTAATTTACTGGATGAAATAGGTAAGATGACCGCTTTGAAATGCTATTTTCATCTTTATTTACGATACATTTTGAATTTGAATGTTAAGAAAACAAAAAGCTTTTCAGGGCGCCTTTTTGTTTTAGCTAATTTATTTGAATTTTATGCACAGAAAGTTTGAATTGACCTTGTATTGCTTTTCAATTTTTTCCAGCGATAATTTTCTATCTTCAACAACTGGTGAAAGTGATTGACAGAGAGGAAGAAATACTGATATAGAAGAATTTGCGACGGATGCCTGAAGTAAAATATCTTAAAAGTTGACTTAGTAGTAACTTTTAGTATTTTGAATGTTAACTGACCTTTAGTTGAATAGACATACTACCATTTACAACTTCTTAACAAGGATATTTTAATTAATTTATGAAGCATTTACTTGAACTATTAATATCACTGTTTCATGTGTTGGCGATGTAACAGTTAATTGATAAGTTCCTTCAACAATTGAAAAGAAAACGATGGGTTCTGTAATAGAGTTGTTTAAACGAACAAATGCACAATTAAGTACGTACTGATATCTTATCATTGTTTGCATGATGATACCAAAATGAAGTGAAAATTAATTCAACTAATTAGAATTTTTTTTAAATTACTCAACAAAAAACTTATCAGAAAACCAGAATACTCTGAACTTTTGCTATGAAACTTTTAATCATCATTTTCGAATAATTAAGAACTGTTTTTCAAATCAAGAATTTTTGTAAATTAAAAGATTATAATTATATGCAAAAGTGTGTACCATTCATTTTCGTTTGTCTTCTATCATTATAACTATGTACATCATTTTGAAGGAATATTTGTGCGTCATCAATTATGTAATTTGGATTCAATGCGTTTAATTCATCACGCACTATTACGTAAAAATCAAATAAATCCGACGTTGCATGCATACTGTGATATGGTATTGTAAATTGCGGCTAAAAGTTTTAATCCGTCAAGTTACTTGAAAAACATATATTACAAACAAAAATCAAAACTCAAATTGATATTTGAAATCAGCAAAATTTATTCATGCTTAAAATAGCTATTTGATATCAATTCATCCTTTTATAGTCTTTGTATATCATAAAAACATGCCACAAGGTGGAACGAAAAATGTAATTTAGAATACAGCAAGTGCTGATATTCCAGAGCTTACCTTACTGTCATCTAAAAAAACTATATCCCCTGAAAGAGATAAATTTCCGGGTGTAATAGAAGAAATTAATGATTGATAGCTGAAAGAGAGAGTGAGAATAGATCCTGAAGTACTGAAGTTCGTAAGATTCTGAAGCAACGGTTTGGTAGATACGAGAAATAAAGAAGTATTATCAGGTCGAATTATAATTTTCGGCATATTAGTAAATTCATATCCTTTGTTGTTTACAATATCCACCTTCAATTTTTCACATAATTAATTTCAAAAATCTAAATAGTAATTAAGAGAAATCTGAATGATTTTTTATAAATTAACTGATCCAGAGAGCAATAAAAGAGATTTACGAGCAGAATAATAAAGAAGTGAAAATAGATGAGTTTTAGATCTCACTGACTGATTTAATAATAAGCAAATAAATGAAGAAACCGAGATTATTTTTGGACATATTCGTGAACTTGATGAAATGACTATTTCCTTGGGATAAAATGCAAAATCTGGCTTGGCACGCGGAACTTGGACTTGTTGTCTGGAACAAAATTTACAGCATAATAATATATAAGCAAATCAAAATTGCTACTTAAAACTTATCTAGCCTATGCTAGAAAATATTTAAATGATAAGTAGTACTTGACTAATTTTTTTAATGTATCAATGCATTTGAATTGTAAGATAATTGTTGTATCGTCGATATTATTATCAGCAATAAAAGTAATTGTAATTCTCGCAGATTCTCCACTTGCTATAGTTCTAAGAACCTGTAAAGTATTCATACTTTATAAATTCATTACAATTTTATTTCATCTATTTTTTCTACTCTTTTCTTGATATTGTCACAACAGTTTTCACATTTGCAGCATTAGCTAATAAATATAAACTTTACCAGACGAATGGTTAAATCTGAATACATTCTTAGAGAATGCAACGTTGCATTCACAGTATGTGTGAAAGGAAAAAACACAAAATAATATACATTATCTTTTTTTAGGCACATGTGATTAAAATTCTGAATTTTCAATATCGCTAGAAGTTCATTTACGGAACGGTTTCCCAGATTTATACCAAGAAACAATAAACTTTTATTTTTAAAACTAGATTTTTCTAAAATCACTTAATTTTGCAATTACTTAGAATCAAATCTCTGCAATTACCGTCTAAACTTGCTGGTAGCATTATTTGTAGATCACTGATATTAATCAGAGAATCCGTTTAATATCTACAAATTGACAAAGTGGTATATTACCATATTGAAAATAGAATATGATAATATTCTCAAATTACCTTTATATCTATTTTCTGCATCTAAAACTAAATATGAAAGTTGATTCAAACCTTTTCGTATTTCAAAATTTGCATCTTGTCACGTGGGGCAATCAGTACTACCTGACAGTTCACTAACAGTAATTGACCATTATTTTTTATATGATAATTTGCATCAACTTGTCGGCCAGGATCGACCATTATTTTGGGATCACATTCAATTTCAAAAGAATATCCATTCCAGGTCACATTATTTTTAAATGTAATATTTTCTAGATTTGTTATACTTGGGTGCATAGCAACCTAAATAATTACTTTTTCAATAATACATTTTTACACTTGCAGGAAGTAGTTTTCAATTAATTTTAAAAAAATTTTGTTCTCCTCATAAGATTAGCTATATAAATTTTTAAATCCAATCTTATCTCACTTTTTTTCGTAATTTTTACTAATTTATTTCTAATTGTTTTTATTTTTTGAGATGATCTTTTATTTCAACTCAAACTTCTCAATTATTTCATATATTTTTTCACTTTTCATTCTACGACTAATCCTGTTTATACAGTTTGTCTGGAAAGATTATTGTATAAATA